CTCTACAGTCTCTTAAGTGAAGAGTAAAACTTCTGAAAAGGTTTAATTCGGTTTCAACTGGTTCAATGGAAAAATGTAAAATGCAAGGAAAAAGAAAAGTTACAGAAATTAACTAGGAAGTCCAGAGCAAGTGGTCCACAAAGTAATTCCTTTCACACTCCCACCACCAGTCTGTTCTCCAGACTATGAGGAAAGTAGAACTGCTTAGAAAATGTATTTCATAGCCTGGCAGTAGAGGCTTTCATTCAAAGCCATGATAAATGCCTCATTTTTCAAATGGCAAGTGACATGTTGATACAATGCAACAACCTCTTACACTACATAATGCTACACAATGTCAATGAGATATAAGAAATGGAGACCATCTTCAGATTGAGAGAAAAATTGAATGCTAGAAAACAAAACCCACTTTTTGCTGAACTACATTCCATTATATAAACTGGAATAATCCCGATTGCTTCTATTTCAAACAACTTCATGCAGAGAAGTCAGGCCAGGCAATGGAATTCTGCATCTGCACCAGTTTTTTACCCCAAACAACAGAGGTGAAAAGGTGAATAGCAGAGCAAACCTGGGCTGCTAAACCAATTAAGCCTCTCCTGAAAAGGAATCCAAAACAACAGCAAGAAGTCGGATACTACAAAGTATTCTTTCCAGAGGGTTTTCATTACACTTGGCTTTCTTCCTGGGCTGGGGTCCAGGAATATCAGCACTGCCTTACTTCTTTTCAAAAAATAAATTGCTTTCATAATGTGCACCTTGTGCACTGCATTGAAATAGATAATCCTTAATCTTGACTTTTTTCTTCTGTTCTGATCTTTCTTCCCTGAATAACATTAAACTAATTTTTAAACTTTTTATCAGAAGCGTGAAAACTTGTGAATTCCAAACAAAAATCTTACAAAAGGCAGAAAGACCTTTTCTTGCTAGTTCAGGGAGGTGTACCCACCTTATGAGGTACACAAAGGAGTGTAGAAAACCCTAAGACAATCACAGACCCACTGAAAAATGGTAAGAGTAAAGCCTAACCTCTACTGAAGCTCAGTTCAGGAATTTTTCATATACGCTGTGGGGAAGGAAGGACAGAGATACTCAAAGAAATCCCCATTCAATAGAGAAGTCAAAGGCTTTTCTTTCAGAAAAAAAGTGTGTATCTAAACACTTTAAAATTACTCCTTTGATGTGCCTTTTGACTGCTTCCCTACCCCAGGGGAAAGCTCTCTCGCATTTTTATCCTCGTCACTACAGTCACCACGTCTGACTTAGATCATGTCTAATGGCAATGATCTGGTGAGTCTGATCTGACTTCAACCAATACTGAGAGAGGGTAATTTAAATAAATATAGTATTTATGTCTTTGTGATTCAGAATCATGAGAATCTAGTAGATAGATCCCTCTTTATTACCAGATGCCCATCTGGAAGATGCTGTTTTGTTTGGCTTTTTAGATGACGTTAAGTGGCTTCTGGAAAACATAAGTTTCTTTGGGAAACTTTGAGCACTGTCATACCTTACCAGGCAGATTAAAATCTTTGAAAGGTATTTTTAACCTCTGCTGTAATCTCTGCTTTGCAAAGGATACCCAAAGGAGACCATGGTACTTTCACAGAGGCCACCACAGATTTGGCTATAGTCCTGGGTGCGTCCGATTCGGCTTTCAAGGCCAGTCTAGACCCACTTCAGCTGTTGAGCACAGCCGTGCCAGCTGCCTTCCCAAAGCAGGGGACATCCTCTCCTGTATTCACCTGCTCACAGGAGAGCCTGTGACTCTGGGTGTAGACTGACATCAGGCCAGAGTGGATTTAGCGACTCAGCCAGGAGGGCAGCCAGGCACACACTCCTTCAGGTCTTCTGAGCTGTCCTGACCCAGTCCCTCTTTCTGTTGCCCTCAGCCACTTTATCAGCCAGATCTGCTCACCAGCCTGGCTCGCTGGTTGTGCCTGCCAAGTGAGTAAGAACAGAGGTTCTCACAGCAGCACTTGTGCTCTTTAGCTGGTGTTTCCTTTCATCTCCATAGCACTTTACAGCTTCTAAATATTATATTCATGATAGATCATAAAAGTTGAATGTTTCCTCTGCTACTTAAACAGCAATTTAAGAGAGCAGCTTGAACTACTATGCCTCATAAAAATTGAACTTGTCACAGAGGAGAAGAAAAAACATTGTAAGCTGTAATTGTTCAGAGAAAATGTTGCTGCAAGACACATAATCAAATGTGACACTTGAAGTTCTTGTCATGGAGCGTTTGATCATAAAAAAAATTTATTATTTCTAAGGTCTATTTTCACATCAGTGCACTACACATCCTGTCAGAACAAATAGTGCACTAATGCAAACGATAAATAAAAAGTATTTTCACAGCCAAAGTATTTCCATTCCAAGAATAACTGTAAAAATAGAGCTACTGAAAGTGAGTGCAACCATGAGAACTGTGTGTCATAATATGAATTATATTTGTCAGCAGAGGACAGTATGGGGTTATTACATCTCCTTAAAACAGAAAAAAAAACAAAAAGAAAAAAGGAGAAGACTGACCTGTCATTTCCACCCGGCGTTTCAAATACCAGCTGTTAAACAAAGGCTCAGTGATGTCCATCAAAAGTGAACCACACACCTGAGCGTGTCACAGCACTAGGGATAGCACTAGATGGTCCTAGGAAGCGCAGCAGCACTGCAGCTGTGGGCGAGGAACAGCCAGCCAAGTGAACGTGCCCATGGAGATCTATGCTGGAAGTACCCTTGAGGTTACCGTGAAGCCCAACAACGTGGCCAAAGCCTTTTCAGTCAATCAAGGGATGGCAAAAGAGGACTTTTCATCAGCACTAGATTATGTATGTTGCCCTACTGTAAAGGACAGGAGCTAAAAGGTGAACAAATAGCTGTGTTTTAGAGTGTGGCATTGGTAATAAAAGGGGTGCAAAGGAGGAAAGTTGCTTTCTATGCAGGAAAAGGAAAACGCGTCTTTGCCTACTAAGAACCGGAGCCCAGAGAGTGAAAGTACGTGTATATACATGCTGTGTTCGTGGGACATGCGACACACTAACGCAGCTTTGCCTTGGGCTTGACGCTGCCGGCCGGGGAGCAGAGCGCCTGGCTTTGGGCAGGGCTGGGAGCACGCACCAGCCCTCAGGGCAGCACGCCGCACACCCTGTGACACCGTCACCTTCCTGCCGGCTGGGGACGGAGCACTTTTACCTGGATTACCCTGCATCCATCCCCATGCCAGGCCCGTGTCCCGGCAATTCAGCTCCCGCTCGGCAGCCGTCGCGCTCCAACGCTCCACATGGCGACACGCTGGCTCCCGTCGGGGCTGGGCGAGGAGCGCGTTCCCTGGCGCGGATCGGGAGCCGCCTCACCCGGCCCCTCGGTTTGTGAGGGTCTCCGTCCCCCCGGCCCCGCCGCTCCCGGCCCCGCTCCCTGCTCCCCGCCGGAGCCGCTCACCCGCGCAGCGCAGGCCCTGCGAGAGGACGAAGCGGCAGCACAGGTCGCACCACGCTCCCGCCGCCGCCGGCCCGAAGCGGTGCGGGGGCTCCGGCGGCGGCGGCGCCTCGAAGATGGTGCG